TGCTCTTTCAGGGCGCTGACCGCGACCCCTGGGGCGATGCGCAAATCCCGGTCGCTAACTCGGATGCGAATGTTCATCCCTGCCGTTAAACGCTGCCAGAACACTTGGTTAACGAAGGCGAGCGAATACGCAGTGGGAAGGGAGGGAGAGGCAAGTCTGGTTTTTCTCCATCGGCCTGGCCGTAGAGGGAAACCAGGATGGAGGGGGCAGAGTCAGGACGGAGAGTTAAGGTACTCTATTAGACGAATTGCTGAGGAATTTTTAAAGGATTTTTTTTCTCATTAACTTCTGTAATGAATGTTTGAAACCGGTAGCAGGAATTAAATTACATAGTTCCGTATTTGATTTTCCTTGTATTTTCCTTCCAATAAATTGTCATGTGATCTTCCAGTCGTTCATCACATTATGAATGGTCAGACATTAACTCGCGGAGGAAGGCGGCTTCCCTTTGAAACCTGAAATGCTTTTCCTTTTAATATCTGCACAGCGATAGGCATCTGTTTCTGAGCCAAAGCAGTATTGCTCCATTGACGCGTGCCACCATGACAGGCTGATAATAATTTTAGGCTTCCCTCAACGTGCTCTGTGTGCTGACCTCCCATCCCTGGTGCTCTCTGGCACCCTTAGCTGGGCTACAGCTCTTTTTCATGTGTCCTCTTTAACTTTGAACAAGCACAGGGTTTTCCAAAGCAGCAACACAAACTAGAGCTCGCTCTCTATGTTCTTGTTTTTGTAAAACGGGTAAAAGCTCAATAGGTTTCAGGTGGCTACCATTGTCAGATTGGTCAACAACAGAGGTGCTTGTGCATACTCCAGCACGCACACACACACCTGCCCTTGTGCGTGGCATGGGGCTACATCCTCCTTTTTCCTTAAAAAATCATGAAGCTTCTCAGCCAAACTAGCAGAAGGGCTGGGATGACAGGAATGAGACAAATTGGAAACACATGAGCAATTTCTCTGATTCCTCTTAAAAACAAGGAAGCATGAGCCTAATGTACACCGTAAGCTCTTAATGTGGAAGGATTTGGGCAAATAAGTAGTACAGAAAATTACTGACTTGTGATTCATTGCTCACTGTTCCTGCTCTAACTGATGACCAAACACGACGATTGCATTAGCGTAAGTAGGATGGTCTCTCTAAATTATTAAAGACAACAATGATGTAACCTTAGCTGGAAAGGTAGATGGTTCTAGAAAAAGTGCTATTGAAAAGCATCTTGAATTGGTTTATCAGTTTGTCAGTAACTGACAGCAGCTGCACGAATTCTTGTTTTGTTAGGCAGAGGAAATTATATAGTTGCAGAATTAAGAAACATTCAAATAAAAGCTCAATTCTGGCATTTAGTCAGGCCTACATGATGATTAAAATTCAGCCTAACTGCAGTGATCTTGACCTTCCTGCTTCAAACCCCTTTGCCTGTTGCATCCAAGTGGCTTCTCAGAGGCTGGTAGAGCCCCTAGACCAGGAGGGTCATAACCACGGCTCTGCTGTGACACAGCCCAGCCTACCTTTGTCCATGGAGGCAAATACAATATTGGCTATGAAGGTCTCATCTAAGCATCAGGAAACCCACTGGCCAAGACAGAGCCTGAAGAAGAAGGTGCTACTGCTGCCTGTCAGGTGCTGGTGGGGTTACGCTCACTCCCAACTCCGCAGGGTCTTGCTGGGGCTTTGCAGAGCGTTGCCAGGGCTGACTGCTATCTTTGCTGTTTGTAGAGATCAGCAAGAGGACAACTGGGTGTAACAGGGACAAAGTCTCCAGAGACAGAAGATAAAGGTTATAATTAGTGTTTACAAACCACCCGAGAGGGGTGTTTTCTTCCCAGGGTTGGCACGGCCCTTCCCCAGGCTGCAGGCAGCGATGAGCACTGGGGTGGCAGTGAGCATTAGCGAGGGCTCGTCTCACTTTGCTATGCACGTGCCTTGCATGCGCTGATGAAAAGTGGCATGCTTTGGCTTGGAGGGGCTGCGGTGGCCAGCTCTGTAAGGACTGGGCTGTTAAATCCTCAGACTTACACCTATCATGACCCCTGGGTCAGTTGTCCCAAAAGCCAAACCCATATGGGAAAGAAGAGGAGGTCATAGCTAAAAATCATTATGAATGGCAGACTCTGCGGCATAGCAGATAGTACATTTGCTAGGATTTTCTAATATAAAATAATACACAGTTGAATTACTTGAATTACTTTCTG